ACCTGCCACGTGTGGCTTTGTAACAAGAGATAGAAAAGAATACACAAAAGTCCAGTTATTTAGGCTTGATGTTTAAATCCTATCTAAAGGGCTGTTTATCTTAAGAATGGCCTTTGATGGACAAAGTGACCGCCACCATTGCCATCATCCGGCCTGGCCGTTTGAGAGTGGTGGCAGGTGTGTGGTAAGCCACTGTTCTCTCTAACTTTTACCATTCCTTCCTATATAGGGTATATACTGTTTGTTTGGTTACAGGGTCATGTGTTTGGACATATGGCCAAGCATTCCAGTCAACACAGCCAACCAGTATTAGCCAGCTGTCTTTCAACAGAGTTCCAGAAAGGACAGAATTCACCTCATTATATATTACCTGGGAAACCCTGGTGACTAACTTTTGATCTTTGAAAATGAAAAATCTCAGCAACTTGTTGGATGGGCTTAGAGTCTATAACACTGAGAGATCTATCATAGAAACAAAGAACAGACTACCACATGTTCTCACTTATAAGCGAAACTTGAACAATTATCGTCAGCCACTGGGGTTGGTAGTAGTGGGAAACTGCTGGGGGGGGGATACTTCATCATCAAGGGTGCCTGTATAATGAATATTTGTATACCTAACCCTGAATTGTACCCTACATCTTTAAAAATAAAAATTAGATAAAAGAAAATGAAAAAATCTCAATGCATGATTAGCTGGTTCTCCCATAGTAATCTAGCATAGAAGGTACCTCTTTGGTTAATTAAGGTGATGGGTACGCTAATTTTAAGCTCTCTGTGATGCAGGCCCATTGGTTTTTTCTTTTCTTGCTCTCAATCCATTGTGAGCTAATAATTTCATAACATATAATAACAATGCTATGAAAAAAGTACAAAACACAAGGCCTTATTATTACCATCATATTTAACAGCTATAAAGTTATACTGTCAAATTGCCATCAGTGATTCTAACTGCTTACTCTCAATTCCTGTACTGTCTGGAGCAGTGACAGTTTGAACTGGCCTAAGGACTGGACTTTGGGCAGCCCTGCTCACACGCATTGTCTCTGTCACAGAACTTCATGCCTGATCCTTCCGAAGAGAACACAGATGGCTGCCTATATCCGAGTCTGGATGGTCTCATGTTTGAAGGAAGCAAGGCCAGGTAATTTCTCAAAAGTCCTCCTAGTTTGGTGATTCCTGGCTAGGTCATTTGGGTCCATACCATCCCATGGTTTCTGGGCACATATGAGGCCACAGCATCTTGAATTCTCTAATATTGTCCTTTCCTGATGCTCAGAAATCACTTTCTCCCCTCTAACACTTCGCGTCAGTGCAATGGAGAAAACACTTGTATCAGGTGAAGTTCTATGAAAGATGTCCTGGTAGGCTTTTTGTCCCAGGAAAATGACTTTCGTTTTCCACCATATCTGTCTGGATTTTAAATCTCAAAATACCACCTTCAATTATCGTTAGCCTTGGCCTATGACTCAGTTAAACACTGACTACATAACTCTTTTTTTTTTTTTTTTGAGTTGGAGTCTCACTCTGTCACCCAGACTGGAGTGCAGTGGCCGCTCCCCGGTCACTGCAGCCTCGACCTGCTGGGCTCCGGCGATCCTTCCGCCTCAGCCTTCCAAGTAGCCGGAACTACAGGCGTGCACTACCACACCCGGCTAATTTTTTGGTTTATTGTAGAGATGAGGTCTCGCCAAGTTGTCCAGGCGGGTCTCGAACCCGCGGAGTTAGGCATTCCACTCATCTCAGTCTCCCAAGGTGCGGGATTACAGGCTGAGCCACCGAAACCAGCTTACATAACTCTTAACTACTTGAAGTGTTTCATTATACATGTCACTGTACAAATATTGAGGTAACTTTTGCTTAATAGTCTTTGCCACATATATCTTAACACATATTTCTCCCTCGTTCAATATAAGATGTTTTTTGCTTGTGCCATTCAATAATTTTCATAAGAGCTTAAATTCTAGTTTGGTTTAGGGCAGTACGTAGGTAAATGAATGTTAATTTTAAAAAATCACAGGACATTTTCTACCTGTTTTTCTTTTGCTCCAACTGTTCATTTTTATCTTGATCAATTTAATGATTTTGGTTTCTGCTTGGAACTTGTCATCTTTTAAAAAATTATTTATTTTTATTTATTTTTCTTTTTTGAGTCGGGGTCCCACTCGGTTGCCCAGGTTGCAGTGCAGTGGCATGATCACAGCTCACCACAGCTTTGACCTCCTGGGCTCAAGTGATCCTTGAGATTACAGCTGAGATTACAGCTGCATGCCACCACGTCTGGCTAAGGAACTTGTCATCTTTGAAAAGCAGCTATAGCTGGGTTCGGTGGCTCAGCCTGTAATCCCGCACCTTTGGGAGGCTGAGGTGAGTGGATTGCCGGAGCCCACGGGTTCGAAACCCGCCTGGGCAACTTGGCGAGACCTCATCTCTACAATAAATCAAAAAATAAGCTGGGCGTGGTAGCGTGCGCCTGTAGTTCCAGCTACTTGGAAGGCTGAGGCGGAAGGATCGCCGGAGCCCAGCAGGTCGAGGCTGCGGTAGCCGGGAGCGGCCACTGCACTCCAGTCTGGGCGACACAGTGAGACTCCCACTCAAAAAAAAAAAAAGAAAAGCAGCTATAAAACAAATTTGGCTAATTTGCTTAATAAAAATATACTTCATGGTAGAAAAAAACATCACAAGGAATGGACAGAAAATAATAACAGCCATGATACAGATATGTATTATTTTCATTTTGAAAGAAATCTGAGAATATTAAGTCATTTGTTTAAGCTTTTAAATAATCCATATTTGAAGGTTCCAGGTTATCTAAGCACAGTTGCCCTGGACAGGTTTTAGATGCAGTCATGTTTTATTGTCCTCCACTGTGCAGACGCTCAGGCTAAATTTCATGGTGGGGCCAACGTTAGATGACTAAATCAGGGGCACAGTAGACGTGTAGAACTTTCAAAACTATACAGATGCTGACATAAACCATCACACTCAAGCCAGAATACAGCAAGCAGCACGTCTGCTTAATCAACCTCCCTGGTGGAACATTTCCCAAAATACGGCTCCTGCCTTCTATTCCTCTCACTTCGACTTACAGGGCTTCATGATTCATTCCCCAAGTTCGGTTCCATAATTCAAAGATTTCTATTTTTCACTTCTCTTTAACTCAAATTCAACAGACCTAAAATAAAACTGATCTCAAAATCTTAGGGTTGGCTGAGATCCCAGGGGACATCCAGCCTTGACTTCAATGGCTACGTGAATAGCTCCCATGATGCTTCCCGGAGGGAGGGGTTCTCTAGCCTCTCTTTCACGTTTCCAGCTCCGGGGAACGCCCCTCGAGCCAGGGCAGCCGCTGGGCACCTCCCTCCCAGCACTGATTCCATGACCAGGCTCTCTCAGCCAGTTCCCAGGTCCCCTTAAGTCAGCACCCTCTGACTATTCGCTAAGCCCTTCATTTCTCATTAAGTAGGGGATGGGTCAGGGCAAAGATTTTTAATCAGTCCCCCTTACAGCCCCAAGATTCCTGGAACATAATTTACTGCTGACTACTTGCACTGATGTTTTAAATCTATCAGAGCTCAACCTCAGCAAACAAGTGTTTCTTACTGTGAATCTTGGGCTTCACATGATGTTTTTGACCAAATAGCCATATGAGAATCATATCATGTGACTCATAAGTTAGAAATAAGGCTATAGCTCATTAGCAGATGAAGTAATAATTGTATATTTTATAAATCACTTAAAGACTCCTGTGGAAAGAAAAGTGCAGAATGTAGTGAAAATAGCATTCCAGAGAAATTTTGGTAAAATCTACACAGTTCGCTGGAGAGAGCTCATTCTTCAAAGTTTCTCGTGTTTTGCCTATACTCTACTGTGTAGACCCAGACCAGCTCTCCCTAAAACAACCAAACAAACACAATCCACCCTTCCTGCTATCCTAGTACTGTAATGCTAGCACCTTGTAATTTTGTGAAAGATGAAACATTTGACCTGCTGGCAGCTGATTTCTTTTATTTTCAAATTATTTCGACAGGGTGGCCAAAAATAGAACTACTGTGTGTTACAGATCGTTTCTCTATATACCCGAACAGAAGAATGCCTAGACTCAGTTATGTGTAGTTTTTGAAGGCCCAGATCCCTTCTGATCTCAGATGCAGCGTTAGAGGAATACGACTTACAGATGAGTAAATCATGGGTTGCTGCACCACGCTTCCAAAAGCTGTGTTGCTGCAGTGAAGCCTGTCAAAAACAGGACGGCTCACGCTGGGGTTTAGAAGTTGAACTGCAGAAACCCAGGGGCGTCGGCTAATTCCCCTCATTTCTCACACTCCAGTTATAAACTCATTACATTCCGGGAATGCAGCATGAAGTTATTTGAGGACTGCTACTTCCCAGAGGTTTAACGAGGTAGAAACTGACGCGAAAAACAAGAGAGATTACTCTCATCTATTTACATCTTTAAAAACAATGAACTTCCACAAGATTTGATAAAAGGTACTCAAATAAGCACATGTGCATGCGTGTTCACAGCAGCACTCTTCATAGCAGCCAAAAGGTGGAAACAGGCTGTGTCCTCAATCCATTCACCGATGAAGAAACAAAGTGTGGCATAACCAAACAACAGAGTAAAACGGAATGAAATACTGATACATGCGACAAGGTGAGTGAGCCTCAAAAACAGTACGCTAAATGAAATAAGCCAGACACAAAATGTCCCATAATATATAGTCCACTTATATGAAATGTCCAGAGTAGATAAACCCATAGAGACAGAACACAGACTGGTAGTTGCCAGGGCAGGCTTGGGGGAGGAAGAAGTGAGAAGGGGCTGCTTAAGGGGTGAGGGGTTCTACTCTGGAATGGCGGGAATGTTTTGGAGCTGGGCAGAAGTGGGGGTTGCACAACACTGTGCATGTTTTACATGCCTCTGAAGCGTACACTTTAAGCAAAACAAAAACACTGAAGTGTTAAACCAGAGTCTCACCACTCCGCTTTACACTCACCTTGCACACCATGGACGTCTTTGCGCCAAGCCTGGCAGCCTGGACACACTGGTTGGCACCTTTCCCTCCAAAGCCAATAAAAAACTTGTGTCCATGGATGGTTTCTCCAGTTTTTGGCAAACGAGAAGTAAGACTATTATAATTTAAAAAGAGAAGAAAAACGCACATTGGTAACTGTAATCTATTTGGGTTCTTTAGAACAGGGGTTCCCAATGCCCAGGCAAGGGGTCTCCAACCCCTGTGAGGAACTGGGCCACAAAGCAGGAGGCGAGCAACAGGCAAGCCAGTGACGCTTCATCTGTACTCACAGCAGCTTCCTAACACTTGCATTACTGCCTGGGCTCCACCTCCTGCCAGATCCGTGGATTCTCATCTGAGCATGAACCCTATTGTGAACTGGGCCTGTGAGGGATTCAAACTGAGCGCTTCTCATGAGAATCTAAGGCCTGAAGGTCTGAGGTGGAGCTGAGGTGGTGATGCTAGTGCTGGGGAACGGCTGCAAAGACAGGCAAACATCAGCAGTGAGGTTTGAAGGCCCAGAGACCATAAACCAGTTGCCTGTAGACTCCTATCAAAACCCTCTCAGGGAGCGGCCAGGGAGTTGACGGACTTCAATCAGACAGCTGCATCTGTGGCAGGCTTTAAGTCAGAATCGGACATTATTTTAGTCTGTGCTTGACCGGCCCATTATTTTATTTACCACTTCCATTTGCGCCTCTTTTTAAAAAAAAAAATGGCGAGTTGTATAATTATTGCGTTTATACATGACAATCCAGTAACAGTAGAAACCAAGTGCACAATAAATGTTATGTGCTTGAATCATCCGGAACCATCCCCCTCCTCCCGTCTGTAGAAAATTGTCTTCCACGAAACTGGTCCTGGATATCCAAAAAGTTGGGACCACTGCTTTGGAATAGAGGGAAGTTGTATGATAGAGCTCCAGGAGGAGGAGGGGGAGGAGGGAAAAAGATAACAACGAGAACTCTGAGCAGAAGGAAGCTTACCTTTTCCTTAAGATGACATTCAGTAGTTTGAATCACTGTCCTTGACTCAGTTCCCCTCTCCCTCACAGCCCGCTAACGTAGCTCTATTTCAGATGACTGTTCTTAGTGTCTGTACTGCACCAGGATAGTCGCGGATACCCACTTCATATTTCCCTTCACAATGCCTAGCACAGAGCTTTATTCACAGTTAGCTTTAATGAATGAGATGAAATTAACATATGGTTGGGTGCCTTGGCTCAGCCTGTAAACCCAGCACTTTGGGAGGCTAAGGCGAGAGGAATGCCTGAGCCTGGGGGTTTGAGATAAGCCTGGGCAACTTGGTGAGACCTCGTCTCTACAATAAATCACACACACACAAAAACTAGCTGGGCATGGTGGCATGCGTCTGTAGTTCCAGCTACTTGGAAGGCTGAGGCGGAAGGATCGTCTGAGCCCAGCAGGTCGAGGCTGTGGTGGCCGTGAGTGTGCCCCTGCACTTCAGCCTGGGCAACGGAGTGAGACTCCGACTCAAATAAAAAAGAAGAGAAAAAAAGAAATTAACATATGACTCTGTATGGATTGATCTGGTCACTTTAACCGGCAGCAGCAGCAGCAGTGTGCCAGGATCCTGATACTCAAGTACTAGACCTGAGGAGGGGAGAGATGTAGTGATTCCAGGTACCAAAGACTTTCTGTCCACCTGGGGTGAGGTGGGAGTGGGTGTTCAGGAAGCAGGATCAGCTTGAGTCTTAGTCCACCCCACACACCACATCATTTCATGAGCTGACTCAAAAAGCACATCTATTTTTAAATGGATACCAAAGAGCTAAGTCTATTCTTAAAATTTTATTATGGCAAATTTCAAACATGTATGAGTAGAGAAAGTCATTTATGGACTTCCCTTACCCCCATTCACCCATCATCCAGATCCAATAACTATCAACTCACAGCCACTCTTACTTCAGTCTATACCTTCACTGACTTCTCCAAGAGCTAAGGATTTTTACTATCATGTTGTTGACTAATGATGATAGTATTAAATGAGGCAATAAAAGGAATAAAAGGTTTGCTCCAGGTATGATTTTCATATCATTAAAGGTGGAATATGTGAGGACACAAAAGCTGTGAGGGATGGAAGGAAATGACTGACTTCTAAAGGGAAGAGGAGTTCTGGGTACGGAGTGGGTGATGAAGATGGGCTGGTCCACCACAGAGCAGTGGGCCAAGGG